CTAACGACCGAACTCCCTACGTTCGATCCCATCTGATCCGCAGGTCATACAACTAGATATCCCATAGCCGAGCCCTCTAAAGCCCCACGATTCAACCCTGCCGCAAGCCCTACGACCGAACCTACCCCCAGCCGAATCCTCCACTAGAGCCGCAAGACTCGACCTCCACCCCAGGCGACTGAACTCCCAAAGCTACATCTTCCATCACTACCTCCCAATTGGCCGAAACCCCATTGCCTCTTCCAATCTCTAAGTCGGACCGAACCCAGAGCCAATTACCTCCTCCTTATTGAAGCCGAAATCCCTCTACTTGACCACTTCTTGCTTGATATCTAACCTAACCAACTAAGGTTTACTTCTAAACCCTTCTTTTGACTATTATAATTATTTATTATCTTTGATTTATCATTGCTATTATATATATATAGGAGGATAAAAAAAGGAAAAAAATTCAAAAAAAAGTGAAAAGGAGAAAGAAAAATACAAAAAAGAGAAAAAAGAAAAGTTCAAAAAAAAAGCAAAAAAATGTATTCTTTTGTGTATTTCACCGCCAATCCCTTGTCGTGCAAGTATAAATTCTAAATTCTAAATCTCCATTTTCGTCATTTGTGTTTAGTCAGAAAACTCCTTGTACGCGCTCTCGTAGAATAGTAGGAGAATATCTGGAACGACGCATTCGGCGAGGCGGTTAAGTCATATACACGCTCTTATAGAATGGTGGGGAGTCCCTAAGTACCTATACATGCACTTGTGATGTGGCAGGGAAAGCCACTTGTGTTTTGGAACATGTATCAGGAGGCCCCATATACACTCTTGTTGCATGGTGGGATCGAAGATATACGGCCACGGTGTCATCCGAGACCAATCATACATGCTCTTGTAGTGTGGTGGGATGGTCCAGTTTCTCGTAATTTCCCTTAAAGGGGGGAGACGTTAGAAGGCTACCAAAATTATGTCTGAAAATGCACAGGACTTGGATAGTGGCAGTGGACCTGTACTTGGACTTCTGGACAGAATGCAAATGGATAATAATAAAGATTTTGGACCTAAGTAAATTGAAATTGGAATGAGAACTAAGTAAATTTGAACTTGACTTGAACATTTGAACTCAAGCAAAGACTTGAGTTGGACCACTAAAAACTTGGACAAGATTTGGACAACTTGAACTTGGACTCATATTCAAGCAAATGCAAAGAACTTTGACTCAATATAAACCTAAATTGGATTCAAGTATAATTGCGATGAATAATTTATAGAATTATTAATTTCCAATGTAATGATAAATAGTTTTAACTCTAATTAGAATGCAAATCCTAATTTAGATAAGTCTGAATCATTTAAATCTCATGCAAGTAATCAATGACTTGTAGTGGACAATGAAGTTACAAACACAAATCGCTCACAAAGCCATACAAAAATTATAAATGATACAATATGATTTCGGGATAAGATAGGATGCCATTGATGGATAACAAAACTTGCATACAAATGATAACAATTGATTCATAATGTTCATCCCAATCATGCAATCCGGTGATTTGTCATGATTTTGATAGATGTGGGGATTTGTGATGAATTAAGAACAAGCTCTCAAGAGGCATGTAAGCTAGAGAGGATAAAACAAATTATCTCAGCCCATTCAAGTAAATCAATATGAATGCAATGATCAAATGAAGAAGATGATAATATGCCTACAACCAGTAACTTGAAGATTCCTACCAGGCTCAGAGCCTTCATACCAAATGGGATATGAATATTGGAAAGACAATGATGGTTAGGGAGCTTTTTGAAGTCGCCTTCAAGAACAAAAGATCCATGATGTGTATAACTAGCCACATATGGATGATAGTAGAAGATCATACAATGACACTGTCATAAGCAAAGCCTGGAGAATGTGCAATGCATGCAATACAACACCCACAAAGGAAGATGATTGATACAATCAGAATATGGCCAATGTCTCCTAATTATAATCAACAACTCTTCGACTTCAAGAGAAAACACCAATTCTCCTAGTTTATCAAAAAGTAATAATGCTTGATGTATCATAAATGAGGTAGTTATCCAACCAACACATCTAAGGAAATCATAACAACACCCTACAATCAACATCAAGATGCATATGTATATACAACATGTCTTTTGTGGTCAAAGACAATATATCTGTAGTACATATATATACGAGGCACTTACGAGTTGTTACGACATACTCGTATTCAACAAATCATACAATGGTAGACGAATATACTGACCCTCATACAGGCAAAGGCAATATGACATATGCATATTCAAAGTATCTATCAATCATTGTAGAAAAGACACTATTGTCTAACATCAGTTAAATGCATCGACTCCCTACAAGCAAGAGTACGGTAGATAATACATAGCGAAGTACAAATATCTACGGGGTTGTAGGAGATCCGTCATACGCATTACATGCTATATGCAAGCAAACACCGGATAATGTGTAGCAGATAGAAGCTCCTATGAGCTTCTACATGAGAACCGTTATGAATATTAAGTACTATCTATGAACAAATGCCAAAACACAATGGTAAATGCAAGCTCCTACAAGCTATTGTAGAAGACTTGTTGCACACTCAATGTGTAGTCCATAAGTACAATGCAAAGTGACTACATCGACTATAAAAGTATACGAGTTGTATTAGGAAACTCGTTGTATATACAAGGGTTATCTGTGAGCAAATATGAAAGATCCGCAACATATACGCTTTCTCTACGAAAATAGACATACGCGCCACGTGCCACCTGTGGGTAGATGCAAAAAAAATTTCAATAAATGCAGTATCTTCTAGCAAATTTCAGTATGTAAAAGAATATATCTACCCACCTACCTGCTGCAGTGGCGAATGTACTGCATGGGCCAAAAATCACAGAAAAATGCATAAAGAATGTGACAAAATCAAGTTCCTATGAGCTTATATGGGAAACCCGCTATACACTTAACATGTCGTATAAAAGAAGGATGCAAGGGAACTATAATAGATAGCAACATCTACTAGTGATAGCAGGATATTTAGTAGTGCACTAAAATCCACCTATATAAAGCAATAAGTAGTGCACGACTGTTTACCTGTATAAAATGTGCAAATAATTGTAGTGTGATGCCATACTACTGGATCCGCAACATTTATACTAGCAGACATAAGGGGTCTAGAAGATCCCAAATAGGATTGTTGCATTCAAATGGCGGTCGCCCGCCCAACCAAGTGACGTCAAATATTCCTAAAAATGCCCCTATACATGCACTTCAATTGTATATAAATAAAAAAAAATGCATGTACAATCATATACTCGCATGGGCCCTGATGAGCATGTTATTTCTACACAAGTGCTGTTTAGGGATGATGTGCGGGTTAATATGTAAATTCAAGTTCGATCTTGATCCTTTTACATGGATAGATAGGAGTCGGCACAGCTCAAACTATCAAACAAATATACGATCAAGGCATCGATCGGGATATTTGTTTTGATACATTCATATTAGGCCTTCAAGGCTTATAATTAAGAGAATTTACTAATAAAGGCATAAAATCCATGAAACCCAATCCTCTCTTAACATTGATGAAGTCGACAAGATTCAATCCTAATGATGGAAATGTTGAACGAAATCTCAATCGGAGGGGTTAATACCAATATTTCAAAATTCTACCAAAATACCCATTAAATATTCAAAAATCCCAAAACTTAAAATATTTAAAAATGAAATAAATCATAAAATATTTAAAGCAAAATTCAATCATCCTCCGCAATCATTTACTGAGGTGGACAAATATGAAAATAACTTGAGCTCATAAAGAGCTAATGTTTGATCTAGAATAACACTAGGATTCATTCTCAAACAGTTTCATGCTAATAAGGATATGACATGTATCCTCTAACCGGCATTTTTTTCTGCCAAATGATGCCGCAGGTAAACGGTTATGACCAGGGCATTTTGAATCGGGTGGTTTGTTGCCAAATGATGCCACTACATTACGGCTATGGTCAGAGCCCGCATGCTTCCCAATGTCATCAAATCCTTGAGATATGAATCAATAAGATATAATCGATAGAGCACAAAACCCTATGTCAGCTAAGGTGGATTCAAAATTGTCCCCTTAGACAAACATCCATCTATGTCTATAAGGTCCCCTTAGACGACACAACCCATGGCTGCCGACAAGGATCCTTCTGTCAGGTTCGGTCAACTACCTCTGACTAAGTATACCAGAGACCTTGATGACCCGAGACGACGGAACCATGGGATCTTGATCGGGTCCATCATACATTCCCCCACTGTCCGCTTTAAGTGCAAGATGGTGAAATTTTCAATTTTAAATATTAAACCTTCAAACCTTAGCCCATGATGCTATTATACACCCGATACGACGCATCTCTACATATCTGATTGACGACTAGCCTTATTTGAAAGTTCTCTCTCGTTATCAGAAGGGGTAATTAACTATAGGGGCTTGCACCTATAAGAAACAAGAACTCTGATCATAAAGTCTTGTAAAATGAGGGTGAAATCTCTGGGTAGTGTCTTATCTACAATCCCAGTCTGCCTACCCTAAATTTACCCCGGAACTTAATCTGTTAAAACTCCCCCGAAAAGCAACGGGGAGGCCGGGGCCGAATTTTTGGAGCCCACAACTACTAACTCCAGACATCAAAAAATTCTATTAGTTCACAATTTAATTATTTTTGTTCCTATTCTTTACTCCCACATGGAATGTTAAATTTTCTCACCAGTTATGGTCTACAACATGCCACCATGAGGCTCTATTCAGTGGTAAAAGTCTATTGTTATGCTGATCAGGTTCCCATGTAAGCTTTTCGTGAAGATTTCCTTGGAGAATAGTTCGATCACATGTGGACTATGTGGCATGATAATTATGGAATTATCTTTAATAGTTGAGCCTACCAATGATAAAAAGATTACGGTGCTATTCTACATATAGATGATCTCAACATTACTATTATTTCTTTGCAATCAGATCAAACAAAAAGGGCAGATTGGCATCAACATCTACACTATGTGGTTCAAACCATTGACAAATTCTACTGAGGATGCTATGGCAACCAAGAGAGCACGAGACTTCTTACTAGGCTGGTGAGTTAATTGCTTAATTTTTGTTCATTCGTGCATATACCCACATACACGCACATTCATCATGTAGACAAAAATCTGAATTTGGTGTTAGTAGAATGTGCATATATGCATGTGTCTGCATACCCAATCATACATACCTTCGGGGAAAGCCTGTTATCCTCACAAAAAATTATGGAGCCTCTATTTTCATAATTGAAAGATATTCTTTTTCAATTTTTCTCTTTCACATGCATAGTATCAATAATATCTATTTATATGATGATAATCAAGTGCGTCAGAAAATGAAAATTAATCTCTTCCAAATTCGAACAACCTCATCTTCGGTCAACAACCTCAAAGTTGTCATAATTGAAAGTAGGGACTATATTAGAAGTTTTGTATTGTGGCTTTTCATACAAAAATAATTTAATATGATCATCCTTACATGATGCTAAGAATACGTTCTGGAGTTTTGAATTGATCTAGTGGGTGTTTTCCCATCAGGTTTTAATACTGCATACAAAAATGACCTTTGCACAGTCATATCATCATGACAGTGTTATCCATTTGATTTGAAATCAGTTACCAATATAGTACGTCTCTTGTAATCTGCGTGGATGGTTATAGTCTTTGAAAACAATTTTGCAGTTACATTAAGGGTGGATGACTAGATGGTCCTAGCCTTCGAAAACTAGTTCCTTACGGCTTATGCATGCTGCATGCTTCTGTTAAATCAGAGTTCATAATCTTGGTTTTGAATTTGATGGTCTTGAACTAATGCTGCGGCTATTCTCCTTTTACATGGCTCTCTCTCTCTCTCTCACCCCACCTACTCTATTATTGGTCTATATGCTTGTGTGTATGGGAATGGATGCCCCTCTAATTGAACCTGCATTTGTAAATTGCGGTCTTTTTCCAGGATCTTAAACCCTATCTTGTTTGGAGACTACCCTGAGATCATCAAGAAAAATGCAGGCTCACGTCTTCCATCTTTCAGTTATTCTGAATCTCAAAAAGTGAAAGGGTCTTTCGACTTTATTGGTATAAACTACTACTTTGCATTTTATGTGGCTGACGATCCTAGTATTCCCAAGACAGGTCTTCGAGATTATAATTCAGACATGTTTGCTAAGTTCACAGGTAGTTTTGTTTTAACGTAATTATTTCATAGATTGAAGATAACTTTGGATTTTGGAAATTCACATGCATTTCTATTGTAGCATTCAAAGATGCTCCGCCAGTAAGACGGGTAAGATTTCATGAATTTGCCATTTAAACTTCGGTTATGTTTTTGTTAGTTTTCCATTAAGTTTTATAATGGGCTGACTAATAACATCTCTGTAAATTCAGATTATTCCACCTAGTCGACCCATCAATGATTTTGAAAGCCTTTGGAAACTGCTGAATTATCTCAAGAAAACATACAAAAATCCTCCTATTTTTGTTCATGAGAATGGTAGTCCATCATAAACCCAAAACACTATAGTATATTGCTTTTAGAATTTTAGCATATTAAGATTTTGTTTGGGACAACTTTCTAACATCTTTATGAAGCAGGTTTTTAGTATTAAAGTATTAAATTAAAAAAAAATTGCACTAAAAAATAGCTTTATAAAGTGGTAAGAAAGTTATCCCAAACAAAGCCTAAGTTTCGAGAATGCAAATTTTAATTAGAAGAATAAGGATGATGGCAAATGCCTCAAGGTTCATGTGCAGCTGCCAAATTTCAAGAAAGCTTGATTGCCATGCAAAAGAATGAACTTTGGGATTGAGTAGTGTTAGGAACTTCAATTCTGATTAACCTTTTTTTTAAGATAAAACTATGTTATTGTTCTATTTCCTGAATTCTTTGCTTCTAAATAGGTTATGGTTTGGGAGTTGTTGACACGATAAATGAGATAAATGACGTAGGAAGGATAACCTTTCTAAGTGGTTTCATCGGAAGCGTACTTGATTCTATCAGGTAACTTGCTATCTAATCTGCTGAAAAATAACATAGTGATCATCATCATTAGCCTTTCCTAACTGCTTATGATAACTTTTTAAATTCTCTTTTTCCATTGATTTATATTGAGCACCACATGCAGAGTAAATCTTATATCATGTACAATGTATTGAAATATTATTAAACGTGCTACATATTTTGACTTTTTTTTTCTTGTCAAGCTTTTACATAGATTTTATCTTTCATATTTGTTTGCATATGAAAGATAGGATGTAGAATTCATTTTTTATTTATGCATTTCTTATAGGTTTTTTTTATTTCTACATTGCTCACAGGGATGGAATAGATGTGAGGGGATATTTTATATGGACATTTGTCGATGGTTATGAGTTGATATCTGGGTATTCATCAAGATTTGGCCTATACCACGTGAATTTTGAAGACAGTGAACATGAGAGGACGCCAAAGCTTTCTGCCCATTGGTACCATAACTTTCTCAGAAAAGGGGCTCTAATTAAGATGAAGAATAATGGTACGTATTGGGCCAGAGCTCATCGTTCAGAATAAATAGCCTGGCTTCTGGCATGAAAGTCTTTTTATCTTTGGCCGAAGTTTTGTGATGTTTTAGGATAACCTTTTTGGGCGATGCTATTTTAACTATAAGGCAATGCTATACTTGCTATTGTACTGAAGTTACCACCATGGATGGCCTTGGCAGCTTAGTTCGCATTCAAACTTTGCAGGCATCTTTTCACATCAAGTAATAATTACTGGAGAACAAATGTCCGGTTATTTTAGGCTTATTGCCAACATTGGAATATATTATAACCAACTTAGCATGGAAATTTCCAGGATCTGTCTTGTTTTCATATCTATATTTTTTATCATCAAATTATTTTGCCCCTAAAAAATGTTTGACTTCCATCGTTATTGACATTGATGTTCTTCAAAAGAGATACTAACAATCATTATCCTCGGTTGACCTATGGAATTTTTTATTTTTTATATTAAGTTGTACATTTGACTGGCAAAAACGTTTGTTGCTTCTGAATGGCTCGAGTTTTTCTCTTATTATGAGAATTAGCTGAGCTTGAATAATTATTACTATCAATAATAAAACAATATGATAAAGTAAATTCATTTGAATAGAGGTTCAACTAGATTGTTCAAAATAAATAAATGTCTATAAAGTTGTAAATAATATTTCTAATGCAGTACTCAAAATGGCATAACAGTAAACAAATAGAACAATAAATATCTCATATTCATATCAAAATAGACAAAAATTTTCTCAAGCCTTTATACTTGACATTTATTAGAATTTAGACTTGAAGCCCTTATGACTATTAGTGCTAGTTTTTATTGTCCTAAATTTCAGTAAAAAGGCATGTTTTAGTTGATGTTGTGCAGGAATGTCTGATCAAGAAAAATTAAAAAAATTGTAGCAAAGTTAGAACTAGCGTCAAAGTGCCCATCACCAATGCTGCAGTGCCTTGGATGCCACGATACTAGAACTAGACATCGCAGGGCTCAAGTCTTGAAAAAATGTAATTAATTGAGCACCCCGACAGAAATATAGGCAACGCTATTGGTGCCTCAACTCCACAAACAGAACGCCACTATGCTTTGCTCTGTCAAATTGCAAGTAATTCAACCTTGAAGTGCCAACCTCTAGATCCAGCAGCGCCAGAAGTCATGTTTAAATGATGTAGCATCAGTTACTCAGTAGAACTACGACAAAGCAGTTAAGAAAGGAAGCGTCACATCAGGCCAACCTACTGCCACATCTGGTCAGCCCAAATCCCGTAGTTGAGCCAACTAAGCAGCATTGTGGTGTTAGTTCATAATTATAAGATCGCGGCACCTATGTCAGTTTATTTAAAAAATATAAATAGTTTTTTTTTCTTATAAGTAGAGACCATGAGAGTTTAGGGATAGTGAAGCTACATTTAGTGGAGTGGTTGGTCATCCATGTAGTGAGCAAAACACTCCTTAGGAGTGGAAAGGAGTGTGAAGAGCGAAGGTATAATGAGGGAAACACTTTAGAAAGAGTCCATTTGTAGGTTCTATTTAGGATTTTAAACTCCGAGTAATATTTTCTTCATCTTTCTTTTTTTGTTCGTTCTAAAGCAAGTAATGAAACGTATTTTGCTCTGACTTAATTCTATGGCCGACTAAGTTCTTTATTTTGAGCTTATGATGTGAATAGTCTTTGTTTCTCCTAATGTATAATCATGTATAGAAATGCGAATGGTTGTTCTCAATTATTCTCATGCTTAATTTATTTTATGCAATTACCATGTAATAATTTAAAATCTAGTGTGATACATTACCTCGATGGAGGAATGTTTTAATAATTAGGAAGACTGAGATATAATACTTTCTTGCCTATATATAGGATGATTATGATTCTAGGGTTTATGAAGATGGAATCGTTATCGAAAGCCATAAACCTTTCTTTACTCCCTTACCAGCTCGACAAAGATTTAAGGCTGCATATTCTATAATTAATAACTATTGTAGATGATTTTTTCCCATTTTCTCTAATAGACATAGCTAAAATGTTGGTAAATTCATTGCCACCAAGCTCCATAAACACTTGGAATGAGTTGATATATAAGCTCCTAGCAAAGTACTTTTCAACTTTCGAGACTATTAATCTTAGGAATAATATTACTTCATTTTTTCAATATGACAAAGAATCAATTTATAAGAGTTGAGAAATATTTAAAAAAATGCTTAAAAAGTGCCCTCATCATGCATTGCTTGATTGGTTAGTGATTCTGGCATTTTATAGTGGCCTTGTAGGATCCCATAGGTCAATAGTTGATACTCTAGCCAAAGTATCTTTAATTTCAAGATCTTTTGATGAGGCTTATGCCTTAATAGAGGAAATTGCAAAAAATAAGTTCTAATGACCTTCTAATAGGGTGAATCTTAAGAGAATAACTAGTGTCTATGAGTTAAATGCTTTATCTATTTTGACTTCTTAGGTAGTTGCTATGTCTAATAAGTTAGGCAATCTTGGAGTCAATATAATCTTAGGATCAACTATGCATTTTGATGAGAATGAATTGAATTTTGGTAGTGAGTCTTGTGCTCAAGGGGTTGAGAATGTGAATGTCTTTGGAAGATCAAATAACCCCTTCATTGTACTACACGAACTTGGATCGTACTGTACGAACAATGACAGCTAACTTGAATTTTTAGGGTTTCTTGAAGCCTATTATAAAAACAATTCTTTAACCATTTTCTAAGTAACATGAAGAGAGGAAATTAGCTGAAGAAGGAACTTTGAGAGATAGCTTTTGAAGAAAATAATGATTTACTAAAGGAAAAAGAAGGTGAGCTTGAGTGTGAGGACAATCACACAGTTGCTCTAGCTAGCTACACGCTTGCTCCTCTTGTGGCCTTAGTGAGTCTTATGGGAGCTCTCTTGGGAGAGAGGCTTCTTAGTTAGTCCTCATGATTCTCTGCCTTCTAGGAGAGAGAAAAAGGAGTCAATGTTATCTACCTATAAAATATTTTTTGGTCCTCTGCAACACTGAATTGGTGAAAGGAGATTTGTAAGGGCTTCTCTGCCTTTATGAGGGAGCAAAAGGAGGGTCACTTTATGTTAGTGCAATACTCAGAGTGGAGGACTCCAGGGAGTAGACTTAGATTAAGGTTTGACGGAATCACTATAAATTTGGTGTGTTCATTGTGCTTTTACTTTCTGCATTTCACTTTATGCATTTCATCTTAGCTATAACTGCTTGATAAATTTCTTAGATCTATATTATGTTGTCATAATTAGAATATCATCATCACTATTTTTCAAGATATATTTAATTTGTTAGCTTTCGCATACAAAAATTATAATTATTTATTTCAAAGTGTTTTGAAAAATCCAAAAATTAGTACTCTTGATTAGGATTATTTTAAAAGCACCAATTCACCCCTTATTGGCGCATCTCATACTTTCAAGTGTTATCAGAGCGGGGTCTCAAAAATAGTATTTTAGAAAACCTTGAGATAAACAATCAATGACACATTTTGGTAATCATATCACTGCGGAGGGTTATTGAATAACTTCTCCACCTTTATTTGAAAGCATCTTATCTATTTCTAGAAAATTAGCATGTTCGCATTTATGCAATCTATTGACTATATAATTTGGCATATGATTCAAATTGGTTACTCACTTCCATAGAATATTATTAATGGTGTTAAAACTGATATTCCCTTTAATGAATGAAGCATTGAGGATAGGAAACTTGCATAGTTGAATGCTAAGTGTTTGAATTATTTCTTTTATGCTTTAAAATCCAAAGACTATATGCGAGTTTCTACATACACTATCAGAAAAGAGATTATGGATAGGTTGTGTATCACCTATGAGGGAACCAATGAAGTGAAACAATCTAGGCTTTAACATTCTTTTGCATAACTATGAACTTTTTTGCATGAAATCTAGCGAGATTGTGTCTGAAATGTATACTAGGTTCACCCAGATAGTAACATCGATCCTTATATGCACTAGGTAGAGAATTATATAATTTTGAAAAGTTCAATAAGATTATGCATTATTTTCCTAGCTCTTATGATGCAAAACTAGCTACAATTATTAAATCAAAAGATTTAAATGTTAGAAATCTGTGGGCTCCGAAAATTCGGCCTCGGCCTCCACTCGCTTTTCTTATTCGGCGAGGGAGTTTTAACGAACTAAGTTCCGAGGTAAATTTTGGAAGGCAGATGGGTTTGTAGATAAGATTAAGTTATAGGGGTCAACAGTTTACTCTATTGACAATTTGCTTGGATCACTCTTTGTCTAGGGGCAAGGGGTGAGTTAAAAGTAAAATGATGTAGGAGAAGAAAAGGAGAGAGCGATGGCACCAAAAGCAAATGATTCAGATAGTAAAAACTCTTTAGTAGATGAGGATGACAAAATAGCCTTGATGACGCCCCAGTTCAATATATTTCTAAAAAAAAATAAAAACATCATCAAAATAACTGGATCAAAGGTAAATCTTACAAATCTTTTAATGTTTTGTCATATATAATTTACTTTGAGTGCAGGAAGCCATCACACCTTCAAGTTGACTGCCCCAATCTAAAGACTCACCCGATCAAAGAAAAGGGTGAAGATAACCAAAGTATAAAAGGGGCAAGCAAAAGACATAAAAAGCATTTTGGGCCGACTCTGCTTTAGAATCATCAGAAGAAGAAGTAGAGGAAGAGGTAACAAATTTGTGTATAATGGCTGATGATAATTTTTGATCAATCTGATCAAGATGAGGTACTTTAACTCTCATATAATGAATTACTTATTATTTCTAAAAATATTCATGATTTGTATAGGAAGCTTAAGAAAAATTACATGCTAGTCTTAGTATTGAATTTTCTACTTTGCAAAAAGAGAATGCTAGTTTAATTACCAAGCACTCTACTTTAGATAATGATCATATGGCTTTATTAGATGACTTTAATGTATTAATAAGAAGAATGTTGATTTATATAATGCACATAATTCCTTGAAAATATCATATATTGAGTTAGAAAAAGCATTTGAGGATTTAGGTGAACTTGCATGTCAATTAGATAGAAGTGGTCATGCATTAAAAGTGGAAGTAACAAGCAATGAACATGCAAATAAATATTTACAAGCAAAAATTACTGGAATGGCAAATAATAAAAAACCACCACCTTCAATGGCTCAATGGTACAACTCCTCAACACAGCATGCATCATATAAACCTAGAAAGAGGAACCATCACACACATAGGTTAGTGATCTCATTCCCTAGTGTTAAGTGTTACTCTTATGATATTTTAGGACACATATGTTGATTCCGTATAGGTTGTTAAACCTAAGAAATTGTCCTAAGGCT